AATATCCATTGTATAACTTAGAGCCCATTCAGAATAAGGAATCACTATGGTTCAACAGAATCACGTTACACATCTCTAAAATCTTGACACCGGCAGAAAGTATTTTTAAGTTTACACATTCACACATTCATGTAGCTTTTTTCCTTCACACAACATTCAGGTGGCCACCTCAGACACACTCCTCAATCACACACACATTTTCAAGTGGTCATTGGCTGTGCACTTCTTGTCAGTTTCATAATTCAAAGGAAATTTATGGCATAGCCGCCATCAGCAATCTGCAAATCCTGCATAACTCTCCATGTAAAAGACAAATACAGTAAGAAAGAACAGAATATTATCTTGGAAATCTTCAACGCTTCTTATAGAGCAATGATATTTTATCATAAAGGCAATAAAGCTACTTTTGCAGGGGGAAGACTATATCCCCTTTTGTCTCATCGTTCCGTCTCCAAATCTTCTACCTGCACCCTGCCCCTGGGGGAAACAGCCAAATTTCATGTAAGAGAAGCAAAATGGCAAACTATAGGAAATTCTTAACAACCTTCTGCAATATGCAAAAGCTAAGCACGGATGTCGTTATTTCTAATCTTACTTCAAAGGATTTTTCGTCAGTCTCCCTTTCTGTTTTTGAAGAAAACATTTGAGAATGCCATGAGCACACTGCATGCTTAACACCTATTGCTGTAAAAACAATGCAATCTTATTTGATTTATAAGTTGGGATATTGTTAATTTTAAGTTGTTTTTTCTCTTTTTTCTCTTTTCCCTTTTTTCCGTGTTTTACCGTCTTTGCCTCCCCCCACGCTCCTCATTGCCGAAGGACGAAGGAGGGGAAGGAGGGGCTGGGCTCACCCAGAGAGATCAGCAGAAGGAACTTAATCACAGGGTCTGCTTAAGAAAAGACAAAAACATAGGAGAGGGAGAGAACAGCTGCAAACAGGCACGTTTCAGAGAAGGGGTGATTGGTGTAACGGGGAAAAAGAGAAACAGCTTTCCCCCTCCCCCGACTGCACCCCCCAATGTTTTTGCTACCGTCATTAACTCTAGGAAGAGGAGCAGCACCAGGGAAAAACCACTCGCTGCAAAGAAGGGAAGGGGAACGCACACCCCCCGGGACCATGGCTGTCAGCGGTGCGGGGGACACAGAGCCCCCCCGCCGTCCCGCCGCGGCGCCGGGGCCGCCGGCGTGCACGCACTCGGGCGCACCGCTCCGAGCGATTTCACCGGCCCCCGGCTCTGCGGCATCCGGGAGCGCTCCGAGCCGGGGACACGCAGGCGGCGCGACCACCGCCACTGCCCCGCTGCCCGGCGCAAGCACCCAGCGCCATGAACACAGCCACAAAAATGTGCAGCGCAGTCCCGCTGCACAGTTCAGATGAAAAGCTGGAAGTGTCTTAAGGTGGAACTCAGTCATAGTGTTCGTAAAGTTCGTCCCTGGTCCATCAGCAGTACTTTCACGCCGCAGCTGTCGTCTCCAATCGTCCTGGATATGCATTGCCGAGACGCCAGCACCGCGTTCATGTTGGCGGGGCCGCTCCGTTGTTTCCGGCCCCGTTCCGTGATCTCTGGTCCCGCTCCGGCTCCCTTCAACTCCGCTCGACTCCCTTTTTACACGATTTCTCCGTATGATGGTATCCAGTAGCATCCTAATGTCCTCAGACTGTGCTTTAATGCCTTTGACTATTCCAGATAACAATCGCCAAATTGTAAGGAGGGAAGCAGCAACTTTTTCTCCCTTACAGGCAGCAGTAAAGAGTTTATCACTAAGTTCTTTCCAAGTAGAGATAGTAAAGGCAGTTACAGTGTTCGCTTCATATCCCTGGCCCTTACATGAAAGCAGCATCTGCCACAAAGCCAGTTCGTCTTAACTCCCCGCTTTCCCAGAAAGCATTGGAGCAATGATAGTGCCGCCTGTCCCTCTATTACCTAAAAAACGTGTTACCACGCTTTGTGCAGCCCTTACCACGAGACTTTGCGGCTTTGTCGGCGGGCCTCCTTCTTCAGGAGTCGTCCCGGGCGCCGGGCCCTGGAAGCACGGAACTTAACTCTTTCGCCGTCCGAAATCCCCGAAAGGGAGGCGTCCGGCGGCGGCAAGTTGAGCTCTTTTTCGTCCAGCCCTTTCGCCTTCTTGTGCTGCACGGCAAGACCGACAAAAACTCCTACGTCCGACCACGGCTGCGAGAACCCGACTTGGCTCTCGGGAGTCCGACTTGACTCCAACCCAGGAGATCCGACTTGACCTCCTAGGGACCCCCACTTGGTCCCTGCCCACGGGCGCCAGAATAATGTCGCGACGGAAAGCTCTAGACACCTCAATATGAGAATCCAGGAACTTCGTTTATTGTAGATTGACAGTAGCTTAATATACACTCTATAATAGGTTCATGAATATTACAGAAATCAGGCTCATTATTGGTGCTCAGTTAGGTGGTGATATCATCTTAACTGCTTCCCATTGCTTACACAGGTGGCTCCTTAAGTGCCTTTGTTTTGGTAATGCCTAGCTCTGTTTCTCAGCTCAATTTAGGATACCCAAGGACACTGCCGCTTTCTCATGGCCCTGCTATCTCAGACTTTCTCATGGGCCTAGTCAGACTGCGTCTTATACTTTAGCAGCTCATCCATAGCCTTAGCCATGTTCATATGTCCTCGCATTTCTAACCAATCCACTACATGGCCGGGCTTCGCGAACGAAGATTTGGGAAGGCTCTATCCACGTTTGATACAGGCACGCTGGTGGCTTAAGAGGCCAATACGAGACAGACATGTCCAATTGCAAAAGGCACAGCAGAAAGACTCCTTAGATGGTGTATTCTGCAATATTCTTAGTGAATATAATAGTTATATTATCAAGAGAAGAGAAAGAAATGTATCTTGGTGTGTCAGGCCAGTAGGACTGTGCTGGAAAGGATGGGTAAGTGCTGTGCTAGGCTTGGTTTTAAAAAGAATGACAATTTGGTGAAATACTCTGCAAGTGCCCTGTGTGGCCCTGGAGCAACAGCCCTTCAGTGACCAAGGAGAACATTTCTACCCAAGAATGGCTGTGGATAAGGTACTTGGTCTGCTCTATGATTAAAAGATAACATAAATAAATATCAGATTATTTGTTTAGTGTCCATCAAATTACAAGCTTCAAAAAATTGAATATTTATAAAACATTTAGGAGAATCTCTTATGGTAGTTGTTAGCTTCTATTGAATTACTCTTCCTTTTATGATTTCTACTTTATTAGAAGTGGCACAAACAGATGAAAAAGTAACCACTTGACAAGGAAACCAGGCAATGGATGTTTTATAAGGAGTTTTGGAATGGTTTGAGGATACTCATCTAATCTTGCTATACAGAATTAGAAAGTCTTGTTAGTTTTGTCAGTAGATGAAAAGACATGGTCTGATCCTGCAGCCAGTGGCTTTAGGTAGTCCAATTAGTCTTTTTACCCCGGTGTGGAACAAGCTTTGAACACTGATCCTGGAGAAGGTGTGGCCCTGGTGAGGTCAAGACCACAGTGTCAGATTTGGCTTTTAATTGGGACACTTAACTGGTAGAAGAGCAGTTGTCAGGATATGAAGACATAGACTAAAAGAGAATTTCAGGGACTTCCAAGCAACAAATTCTCTTTTATTTAGTTCAGATATCTCCCAAATCACTGATGATTTCCTACCTAAAGAGTGAGTTGAAGACAGCAAAACTTCTGCATTGGAGGAAGGAAGCCAGACCTAACCATCCTAATTTCAATAGCAAACAGCTTTGTGATTAAGGAACTGCCTCACTGTCACCTGAAGTAACCCCCCTTGCTCTCCTTCCTTGACTTGCACAAGATTGAGTGATTTCCTGTTGGTTCTGTCCTTTTCCATTGTTAGTGAATGCACATCAGCAGCAGGTGATGATGGTAGATCAGAGGCTCGGAAAAAATGCCTTTTTTCCTTTTATAGGCTTTTCATGGTGGAAGAATTTCTTGTCAAAGCCCTTTTTGTTCTTAAAAGGTATCTAAACAACTCATCAATAACTAAGTCATAGACTTAAATCTTCCTCCAGCTTCTTGTGTCACTAATTCAAAGGGATTTTCTTAGACTTCCGGAAGTTTACTCATCTGAAATTCCACAACCTGTGATGCTGCCAGAATAAGGCTGTGCCTTGGCTCTGCAAGGCGGGGCGTGGCAGGCAGGGAGTGTGTGCCCCGTGGAACCCCCTTTTCTCTTCCCAAATCCTGCTCCATGGGGCTGGTCAGGAATTTCAGTGCTGAAAACTGCCACTTTTTTCCTAAAGGTTTGCCCTTGTTTATAGCAGTCAAAAGTGAAATTAAATGCCTTGCATTGCAGTACCGGAGCTTAAAAATAAATAAGCCCACAGGTCACCAGCTTAGAAAATTTGCATGGGCACAGTCTGGCTCCTCAGAACTTTACAGAAGATTGAGCAGATAAACAGGTTAAAAATGGTCTAATCTTTTTGGCTATTATTAATGCTTGTTTGTACGGACTTACTAGTGTACTGCAAACTGTTCACCTCCATGGAGCTGTTGTCAGGCATCCAGCCACAGTCTGCTGCTGAGGATTAATGAATTCATATCTGTGGAGGCATCAGGCAGGAAGGTGTTAGCTGGCATGAACATTATTTTTAATTATTAGATGAAAGCTTCATATAACAGAAGGCATGAGCTGCCTTTCTAGGTCATCCTATAAAAATGTGATGAAACACTGCTGAAAATGAAGTTAGAAATGTTAATAATGGTGAACCAAGTCTGTGAGATGCTTAAGATGAAATTGCAGTCTGAATTACTTCAATTTCTCCAGCTGCACAGCCTGAGCATGCAGAACTCTGTGAGAACAGCAAAGTGATTTGTTTAATTGCTCTCTTCAGGCCTATAGAGTTTTGCAAATGAACCTTTACAAAGCTGTGTTTTTTCTTGTTTTGTTTTTGGGTTTTGTTGTTGTTGTTGTTGTTGTTTTCATTTTTGTTTGTTTGTTTGGTTGGTTGGTTTGTTTTTTTGTTTTCCAACAGGAATGTCCTAGTGGGGTTGTTAATGAAGAAACATTCAAACAGATCTATGCACAGTTTTTTCCTCATGGAGGTAAGCAGAGTGCCTTGTGCCTGTCAGGGTTATTGAAGCATGCCTTAACATTCCTTACTGCCAGCTGGCTGTAGAACTGCTGCACATCATCTGTGCAAGGAGCTGGAACCGAGCTTAAGCTTTGTGGGATTTTAGACAGAAACACAAACATCAAGGTGATAAGATTTTTAGGCCCTTTGAACAGTTATTTCACATGAACAAAACCCATTACAGATTGTCCCTAGTTTTCAGCTCTTTATTCCCCAGGTCCAAAATAGAAAATGGGGATTGATGCTTTTTTCTTTACTGACTTTCTGGCTGGCAGAAAGTGAAATTCCTTCCCCTCAGTGTGTCTTTGCTTCCCTGCTGTTGGACTGCTGGACATGTAGTGTCTAGCACAGGAGAGTCCCAGACCTCATTTTGGCCTGAAAATTAATCAAAACCTTTTTAAAATTCTTAAAGCAGTTCTTAGTTGATATGTGAACTCCTGGCTACATGAAATTATCATTTTTTGTGTTTGTGTTACTAGGACAGGGTCATGTCATGTATGGGAATATTAAAGTATTGTATTAAATCACTCAAATAATATATGTTATTGCCTTTTAAAAACATCAAGAATCTATGTGTTCTTCTAACTAGATATGTTCTGTAGGGATACTGTTTTCAAACTGAAAGAAATGAGTCATCTTTTTTAGTAAAAATATTTTTAGTAAAAATATTTTTAGTAACAGATTAAATGTTTGAGGCTTTTCAAATCTCTTCCACCCTGTAGTAGCTGCAGAATACACTCCCTGGGGAATGATAACTGATGTTTCTGCAAGACTGTATGTATGCATGTCCTTTACTTTAAGAAGGTCATTAACAAGTAATTTTTCAACTAAATGACAAGATAAACCACGTTATGCTTATGTGTTTTACAGTGCACAGGACCTCAAAGATGTACACCTATAAAAAGTTTGCATTAAATTTCAGTACAGACTTGATGATTTCCTGTTGTGATTGCTTTGTTTTGTTATAAAATGCAACCAGTCCATTGATTGATTGATTGAAAGAATTTAAGTATTTATAATCTCAATGTATTTCTGGATGTGGGTTTTTTTCCAACTTGAGTTCCAGTAAGTCCAAGGAAAATCAGTTACCCAAACAACTCCTTTACTTGACCCAGCTCAGATATAAAAAACAGTCAGGCATAGAAACTTCATTTTATCATGGATAGATAACTTTTCTCCATTCTACTGAAGTTGTCAAAGACTTGTCTTTCCTTTTTCTGTGTGTCCCATTCCCTTGAAATGTGATTCTCCCTTAGTTAATGATGATGGAAGTACAACCATGCTTAATTGTAAATCAGTTCAACAGCAGATGGGATTTTGTATTTTGCACTGTTTTCTTTCACTTGGTTTCCAAACTATTTGTATAATCTTAGTGTCATAAGTTGTGAGATTTTGGAATCTTCAGAGATTCTTTCACTTTTATGGCACTCTTTACAGATAAGCCTGTACAACCTAAAGGTGGTAATGTAGCTCTGAATTATAACAACATTGTCACCCCAGGGTTGTGATTTTTTTGTGTACATAGGGCTCCTATCCTTGGCAGTTTTAATTTTTGCTAATCTGTCATCGAGGGATACTAGTGAACTAAGTATTTCTTAATGTACATCGCACCAAATTGAAATAAGACCTCTAGCTTAATATTTTTAGTTCATTGTTTAGTTTAGTTTAGTTTAGTTTAATAGGAGCTTTTAGTAGGACTATCCCATAAGTAATACTGTGGTTTTCTTTTGGAGCTATTTTATTTCAGAATCCTTCTCTTAAAAATGTAGTACATTAATTTTTTCCCCTAAACTCCGTTGTATTCTATCCTTATGAATGACAGTAACTTAAGTATTTGATTTTTCTGCACACTGTTACACTTTCCTGTATTTGAATAATGTCAGAGTAAGGAGATGCTGGGTCATTCCACCTGTGCACATAGCACAGGGCACCAGGCTTCACCTGAATACCCGTACACTGGGTATGGAGACTCAGGTTTGACTGATGCTGTGTGCTAGAGACAAAGACTAGAAGAGACCAAAAGTGTGTGGCTGCTAGAGTAACAATGAAATAATCAAGGAACTTTAATGTCAGTTGCTTCTATCTTGAAAAGCTGGGCTCTGGTAATACAGAGAACAGTGCAAATTGCCTCCAGAGCAGGGAACAGGCCACTGAAGGTCTTTAAGTTGTACAGCAGTTGGATTTTTTTTGTATACCATCACTGCTATTCCTAGTCAACAGCCATTATTCACACAGCTATAGAGACTTTTCTTCTCGATAGAAAAGGTTTTCTAAAACAAGCAGTTTAAGATTCAAAAGGATGAAAATGTGCTTCAGGTGAGATTGCTCCCTAGCAGTCAAGTTACTGGAGCAAGAGCCTTCTGAAGATGAGCAGTCCCTGGGGGTCTCTGCCATGTCTCAAACAAAACAAAATGGTAGAGGAAGGATGGACGTGTGCTGCCGACAGTTTTTGGTATTTTTGCTGTGTTTCCCACCAGAGCTAATACTCCATTTGACCCAGAGACATTCTGGGATGGTTGGGTTTTTTCTGCTCGTTCTTTCAGGTAAAGCCTCATAGTCCAAATAGTTTCTACTGTAACAAAAGCTTTTGCATTTCAAGGCTGTTTTAAGGGATGCTGTCAGGATTTTGCAAGTCCATGTTATCATTTACTGGTTCACAGAATGCCTGGCAATGCTACAAGGTTGGTTTTTATACAGAAGGAAAATAAGATCGTAACCGTTGTTTAGAGCCATTAGTGTATAAAGAGCTGCTGTACCAGTTCATGTTTCTGTGTTTTCAGATGCCAGCATGTATGCACATTACCTCTTCAATGCATTTGACACTGCACAAAATGGCTCAGTGAAGTTTGAGGTAATTGGTTTGCATCTTCCTTCTACTCCACTTTCTCAGTTTTGTGTTTTTAAGCTTTTCTGTCCATTCCTCCTTGTAAAGTAGTAGGACTTGTTGGATTAAAGGTTAGAGGTTTCAGTCTGAAGTCAGCTGATGTTTTAAAATCTGGTTCAGTTTAGTTTATGCAGATGCTGTTATGTTTCCTCTCAGTCAAGAAACATCTCGATCATAGTAGTCAGGATCAGGAGAAAGCACAGAGGTTTATGTGGCACAGTTGAGGACAGTCCCATATGAAGAGAGATGAGGAGTACAGATAACTTGCAAATTGTACCTTCTGCAGGCATCATGCCTTAAGTAATTGAATAGTTGTATCTCTATGTTCCTGGAATATGGTGTTTCTAAGCTTATTTGATGTGTTGAATAAGCATCTCAGGTACTTGGTATCTAATGGAAACTAAATGCACCCTTTAAGTAAAAGGCCTGTGGCTACAATAACTCTTCATGCTCACACTCATAGTTGTAGGAGTGCAGCAAAAGGATATGTTAAGTCATAGACTTCTGGTGGATGAACTTCATAGCTTTGAAGACATTTCACTGTGATTATAAAACTACAAGTCATAGGCAGTCTTACCTTTGCTGTCAAATGGCCAAGAACTCCAGTAATTTTCATATAAGATTGAGAAATGGGTTAATTCATTAAATGTAAAATGGGAATGTTTCCATATGTATCTGTGCATCTCTGTAGAAAGGGCTGCAGTACGAGGTTTGCATATGGCAGCTACTCAGTAAAGGTGTCCAGAAACCTAAACAAGATGAGAACAGGGAAATGCTGTTAAAAAAAAAAACCTAAAAAAAAACCTCTAGAAAATGCTGAGCTTTCCTTCCTGGCAGACCTGTCCATTTACTGGTTCTCAAACATAAGCATTTTGTCCCCTTTTTTATACTGTCCAACAAATTCAAATTCCTCTGAGCCTTGGCAAAAAGGAGCAGGGGGTTTTAAGCAGTGATTCACCGCCTCATGCAGAGCTCATGGAGGTGACAAGGGAAGGACTAAGGATGTTAAATAAGTTATAATAACTATAGCTCAGTTAGCTTGAAGCTCTGCCTGTGCTAACAAACCCCTGTAGCAATGCTACTCACGGTGCCTGAGCCACCATGCAGGATAAATAATAAATCAAAGTTATTGGAAGCAATAACTTTACTGGAAACAAAAAAATGCAATTAAAATGCTGTGTTCCACACTGAATAATTAGTGACAGGAATCACATCTGGTCAAGTCTGACAGATTTTGCCAGAGAACAAAACCAAAGGCTCCCTTGTTAGAGGAGTTTAGGATCTCTCCATCTCTCAAGGTGAACACAGGGAAAATGCTGGATTTTCTCCCTACTTTGCCAGCACCTAGATCTGGAGGTAAGACAGCATCAGCTTCTACTTCCACAGGCACAGTCCAGCTGTGTTTAGCCAGGTAGCGGCAATTTGAGTGAGGACTCCTTGCAGCAGGGAGGAGAATGGCCACTGGAGCATCTGGAAGTGCTCTTAAAACCCAAATATCTTAGCAGATGCTTCATCCATTGAGTTCAGTCAGAGAGGACACATTTTCAGAAAAGGAAGCCAGAAGAGGTTGATAACCATGTGCTCCATCCTTAAAAGATAAATCTTTTGACTGGCATCATATAAAGAGGACTTAGAAAAGGATGTTATGAAAATTCACACCTCTCTCTGCTTCAAACCAGGATTTTGTGATGGCATTGTCTATTCTTCTACGTGGAACTGTTCATGAAAAGCTAAGATGGACATTTAATCTGTATGACATAAATAAGGATGGCTATATAAACAAGGAGGTAAGGCTGTTCCTGACAAATGTGGTTGATTTCAGAAGAGAAGCAACTCTTTTTTGTTGCAGAACACAATTAATTTCACATGCAGATAATTCAGGTAATTAAAAGCAAATCAGAATGCACTTGAGCATTTATCTGTGTCTAAGTAAAGTGCACAGAGACCTTATTGCATGATTTTCTAGACATATTTTCCTATATTATAGTGCTTTTAATGAATTACTTTAGCTAGGAGCAAAATCCTGGTTACAGCTATGAGCCACATAACCTTTGCAAAGAGGAGGGTGGCAGTGGCAATAACTAGTTGGTGACTGAGGCACGAGGGCTTTCTTTCTGTGCTGGAGGGTACAGTGTGGGTCACCTGAAGCACTAGAAGCCCCCAGCACCACTTCCAAATCCTGCATTGTCATATGTTTTTATCTTCTTATCATTGCTTGTTCCCATTGTGGGAAGTCTTGGTTTTGAGCATGGTAACCTTGAATATGTTTCAAATACATCTTGGTCAACTCAAAACCATCCTGGAGGGGTTGCAGTTACTGCCACTGGCCATGGAGCTGAGTGGCAATTTGTGCCAGCTGTGGAGAGGGACCAGGCTCCCGGTGCCAGCCGTGAGGGTCCCTGGGACAGGCTTGGGACAGAGCACCCCACTTGCTCCCAGCAGCTGCTGTGTCTGAGCACAGGCCCTGGGCTGGAGGAGCAGAGGGAGCACTGCGGGAGCCTTGGCACAGCTGGGGCAAAGGCAGGGCACGGGCAGGGAGAAGAAATTGCTTTAAATAGGATGAATTTGTATGTCATGCTACATCTGTCTTCATGCACGTGTACAGGCATTCTATGTGCTGTTTTGTAGTAGGAGAAGGAGGGTGAAGAAAAGGGCAGTACAAGACAGAAATGTGTTATCATTTCCCTTAATTTCCTTTTTGTGTTTGTGCTGGCATGCTCCTATGGCAGGAAATGATGGATATCGTAAAGGCAATTTATGATATGATGGGAAAGTACACATATCCAGTGCTCAAGGAAGATGCACCAAGGCAGCATGTAGAAGTGTTTTTCCAGGTACCTGGTTTTTTGTGTGTTTTTCTTAACACTTGAGCTATGCACTGATAGACTTTACAGGAAAGTTGTGTCTGTGCCTCACTGTATATTCCAAAATAAACCCTAGCAACCATTCAGCCCAACACTACAGTGTCTGCTGATTTCCTGGCTCCAGGGGTATCTGACTTGTCTCTTAGCCTGACCCTTTGCACTGGGATGTGCCACATGCAGTAAGTCTGAAGCCTCTGCCGTGTGTTGCGGCCCTTCTGTGCTGCTTCTCTCAACTGCCCTAATGACAGACAGGAATGTGGGTGGGGGTTGAAGCAGTGAATAAATAACCAATGGAATAAGTGCAGAGATTGTGGGGTATGTCAAGGAAATAGTTGGAGATAACCTCAAAAGTGCTCCAAATCCCGGAGTCCTTAGCAGTCAGCCAATCTGGCAATGACATTGAGTCTGTGATCTAAGCTTATCAAGTGCCCAGCTTTATTCAGGTTGCATCAACTAAGATATTATACTGTAACAACAGTGTTGCCAATAAAAACTAATTTTTTTATTTTATTTTTCAGAAAATGGATAAAAACAAAGATGGAGTTGTAACTTTAGATGAGTTTATTGAATCGTGTCAGGAGGTAAGGACTAAATTATAACTGCAAGGAAAGGTCTAGCTCATGCCACATCATATGCTTCCCTTTGGACAAACTCTGTATGAAATAAGATGCTGCTCAGGATTCTGGGGTTTTTTTGCTCTGTGAAAAAAAAACCAAACAAACCAACAAACCAACAAAAAATAGCTTCAAGACTGAGTTTCTGGTGATGCTCTGTTAAGCCTGTGACTGAATAGTGGGATAGTGAGTGCCTGAGTCTGTAGACAAGCACTAGAGAAGTTATAGACAACTCTAGACAAAGCTCATAACTGCCTTGCGTGGGGTTTTTTGGTGATTGGTTGGGTTGGGTTTTTTGTTTGGTTGGTTGGGATTTTGGGGGCTTTGGGGTTGGTTAGTTGGTTTTTAATTTCATTTTAAAAGTATGATACTGTCTCTGTGTGCTACCCCAAATGTCTTTATCAGGTACCACAGTGCTGTAACTGCCCAGAGACAAAGGTGTCTCAAAATCTTGCAATTACAGCACTAAGTTATAAAGCCAGTTGATGTTTTTATGATCAAACATTAAAAGCAAATGCTGTCATCATAGCGATGATTTTTATTTTATTTTCTCTTTTGGAAATCATGTCCCTCTTGCAAATTTCCTGTGTTAGGATGGCTGTGATAAATGTTTAATGGTATTTTTAGCACTGGCATAAAGAAGCATCTGCATTAACATGCCTGATGTCTGTTGTCTTAGACATCAGTTAAGTGTGTGAATGTTTGCTCAGATCTCTAATACTTGACCAGTACAATAATGGTCTCTGCCTTTTGTGATGTTTACATTAGTGCAAATAATTGCATAATGGCCCTTCTGTGTATTTTACTTTCCCTGGAAAATTCTTTCCAGTTCTGCAGCCAGACAACTCTTCTGCCCCTGAGCAAGGGGAAGATGATCACTCTGGAGGGCTGAGCTGGCTTGCTGTTGGTTCTGTGTCAAGCCTGGCTCTGGCCATATCCAGATTACCTCTCAGTCAGGGACTTCAGGCAGCAAAATCCTTGTTAGCAGGTGCATAATAGAAAACTAATGTTTTTCAGTTACTTCATTCTTGGTCCCTCCTGGTTGGCTAATTTTTGGCACCATCTTTACTTTGATCATTTGTGTAGTGTATTATTCTTCACATTCATCATTTGACTGTAGGTATGTCTATGATTAGTGGTCTCAGAACTGAAGCAGCTTTACTTCACTTAAAACAGTTAGAGTTTTAATTCTTTGCCCTAGTTTGAGTTTGATTCCTTCTGTTGCCATCCTTGCACTAGGAGCTGGGCAGATTGATGCACTGGCAGGTGTGGTTTCCTGGTGGGCAGGACTTATTTATTTATTTTATTACCTTTATGAAAAACCAACTTAAGTGCACTACAGTGCTTACTTGTGCCATTGCAGAAGCTCTTGCTCGTGGGCAGGAAACTCCTGGCATTGCCTTGGAGAGGATGATTGGTATCCACCAAACTGGGTTACAAGGGACATAGCTAATGCTACCTCAAAATATGATTGAGGAATGCAGTGCAATAGATCTCTTAAGTTGCTCAATGTGGAAAACTAATTTCGTGTTACAGGCAAACAGCTATTCTAACTTTTGGAATAACTGAATTCCTGGGAGGAAAAAAATCATCATGTTTTTGTATACTACTTTGGTTATTACCTTGAAGTACAATTTCAGAATTTCAAGAGAAATAATCTAGGGTTTCCCATGTGTCTGTAACTTTCTCATTTGGCTCTAGGAACCTTGGAGAGGCTGAGATTGCACAGATTGCATGTGTTTTGGTTTTGATCTGGTTGTATTTCTGAGATGAAGTGCTCCCTCAAGGCAGCTTTCTTATCTGTTCAAAACGTGCCATTTCAGTTGGACTTGTGGAGCATTATTAGCCAAGTGCCTGTTTGCACACCCAGGATCAGTGGCATCCGAGGGTTTAGCACAGCCACAGCCTGTGCTTGCCTGCCCCACATCAACCCAGGGCTAAAGTAAGAGACAACTTCTGAGCTGAATCAGGGCCTGGGCACTGAATCAATCCCAGCTCATGGAGGGGGTAAAGCATTACCAGAGCAAGGCTGTTTCCTGCAGGAGCAGCTGCAGAGCTTCCCTGTGCCAGGCAGAGTTATGAATTGTGCTTTACTGTGCTGGTTTCATGGAAGTATCTTTTCCTTGCTTTCAGGACGACAATATCATGCGATCGTTACAGCTCTTTGAGAATGTCATGTAACCACGTAACCAGCGATGGAGGAGTCCGAGAGTTCCTGATCTCCTTTCTGGGTGAAAGCTTTTTACAACTGAGCCATGTCCAGTGCGTGAGGATTTTGTATATCTCCAACCAAATGGCAACTGAATGCAACCGATCCCACCTCTTCTCCCCAGGAGACGCCGGTGGCCCTTTGTTTCATTTTGGAAGCATGTGAATATTTTAATAAACCCTGACAAGAGAGAACTGCTGCTCGAAGTTCAATGAGTAATATAGAGCATTGTTTGCTAGGCACAAGTCCTGCTTTTAATCTAGCAAGCTTAATTACCTATGATAGCATATGTCAATAATTATTCAGCCATCTATTGCCAGTGACAGCTCAGTCTATGCTACCATATGGCACAATATTTGATGAATGCCTTGCCGTTTATCTGCTTTGACAAAAGTCACATCTACCAGGGCAGTCTGTGAAAAATGAACAGTCAATGTACCTGGGACATTGAGCAGACAGGCTATGTAACCAGTATCCCCATTTCTGCAGAGATTCCACTTCTCGCATGCACTGGTGCCACCATGCTGAGTTTGGTGGAGTTCTTCCTGAACACACAAACCAGGGGATCTTCATGCCAGGGTGAGCCAGAAAGGAGCAAAACATGTTGCACATATAAAAAACAAACTACAGAACAAATCCTGTTCAACGCTAGTAAGTTCCTGAAAGACCAGGCAGGTTTGTAAGGGCTGGTACAGAAAGATGATTACCTGCTCCGCTCCCAGCCACCTGTTGCAGTCGCAGCATGTGGTGGGACACCAGGTGATTCCCCACTGTGCATCTCAGAAGCACTGTGGGCATGTGCTGTGGTCCTTTTGCTGTAGTTTGGCACACACTTCCTAAGTTCATTTGAATTTTATATTTTTCCATTGGACATGACAATAAGTTCTTGCCCCCTTTATGGACTTATTTACTTAGTGAAGAACAGGGCCCAGAAGATGCAGCTGTGTTTCCACATACAGACCTTGGCACCCACAAATTGCCCTGTACATTTGATTGGGAGCTACTGAGTTGTTGTTAGCCTCAGAATCGCATGCCAAGCCAGTATTTTTGTCCTACAAGGCAGTTGCATACCTTGTACAAGCCCCATTTCCTTGCTAATGCCAAGTAGAGTATTGGTTTGGGGGGTTGGTTTGTTGATTACTAAAACAGGAAAAAGTAATGAATTTACACCAAGGTTGGATTTTGCCCAGTAGATGATTTGTCAGCTGGGGAACGTGTCAGAGCCTTCTCTGCAGAAGCCTCTTAGGAAAGCTGACACACTATAGTGCCATTGCCATCTCCAGGTAGGTAATGGCTGAGAAACCAAGGCAAGGAGGGAACAGACAACTTTTCCAGCTGCTCAAACCACATAGACAGGACAGTCCCTGCCATAGTGCTGCATTGCTCCCATTCAGTAAGCATATATTTTTATTGTATCAGATACTATATTACAAATAAACTGTTAGCAGTGAAGATATATTTTAAAAATTATGTAAGTGTAAGCTTTTTATAATACAGAATATATAGAATGCCTCAATTCTGTAGCCCTAATTTTATAAAAATTTTGTCTATTGAAGCATTCCTGATTATAGAAGTAGGTCTGATCAGTCCTAGTGTAATGAATGATATGCTGATTGCCCAAGATGGGGCATTTTCACCTTTTACTGTGCTCCTCCATACACTTCAGTGTAGTCTTAATTTTATTTCTCTAAGCCGTCCCCTTGTCATAAAAAGTGCTACTCGAGTGAAGTTGCATGTCTGCAGGAATGACACCCTAGTCTGTCTTGTTTATTGCCTTTCATACAAGCACCATTAATTCCTTCCCAGCAGTCATTCAGAGCACAGCAGCTCCCATGAGGGGCTGTATTCACAGGAGGGATGTCATGCTGTGAGAGTAGCTTGTCCTCCAGTTGTTGGGTACTGTCCATTTAGGTTTTATGTAACAGACACTTGATAAAGTCATCAGTTGTAGCTGAAACAATACACAGCTTACAGTGTTTTTTCTTGATTCTTCTTGCAATCACTTTAGCAAATGACAGAATTAAATATAATTAATTACCTGCTTTTCCCTTCCACGGAAACAACATCTGTCTGTTATCAGTCTAAGCAGTTAACTGCAAAGGAGGGAGAAGTGGTCAGGACAATGGAAAAGACGAATTTGCATCAGGCTAGCACAGTGCCTTTCTCCTCTAACAGTCTTGCTCCCAATGGGATAATGAGATGGCACATACAGACAGAAACGTTTGGAATGTACCCTTTTCAAAAGAAAATGTTATTAGTTGCATGATGCCATAGCCCCTGAAGCTAAATTAATTTCTGGAGTTACTGTGATGAATTTGGCCTCAGCTGGTTCCTGTCCCTGCTGGCAGTAGTGCTGTGCAGGGCCTGCCTGTGCTGTCACCCTGTGTTGAGTGGAGCCCCAATTTGACACCACACTCCCCATAGCTGGTGTCCCTGACAGTACCTGCTGAAGTGCATTGCTGTGTGGGTACCAGTACTGACTCTGCAGTTCTGGCATCTCCTTTGCTGCTGTGCCAGCTTTCCACTCCCAGGAATGATGAGGGTGCATCAGGGAGATGCTGACAGCCATGCTGAGTCTGCCCTTGAGGCATAAAGAGCTTCAGTTTGGGTCTCACAGGAGTCAGGCACCTCCCAGGCACCCCTGATGTTCAGCCCTGAGTTGAGCTCTGTGTTCCACCTGAAGCCCTATGGTAGCTGAGACAAGAGGATTTGCAAAGTGGCACCCACAGTTGGATTTTCCTGTAGCTCAGATTGCAGATTCTGTCTGTGGTAGAGTTCTTGCCACTGCAAAAACAATTATTGCCCTATGTTTGTCCCTGATCCCACTGCTACAGCCAGAGGCTGGGATGCACCAGTGTGCAGATGTGCTCCAGCCAACAGGTGACAGAGATCCAGTGACTGTGAGAGAGTCGTGCTCTGCATGGAAATGGCTTTGGGTTTGGTTTTTTATGTTTTCTCATGAATGTTACTCTGTAAACTTGCCAAGCCTCCCCTTGCTCAGAAATGGGGCTTGTAATATTTACGACAAATACGACTACAGCTTTCTAAATAAAACACAGTATGCTATTCCAATCCCTACCCTCATCAATCCTCCTGCCAGTACATGGAAGGCAGTTCCTGTGCTGCTTCTCAGCTACAGTCAGACTATGTCAGTGCTATCAACTGTGCTCATTTCCTCCAAGTGGTGAATGTTTAAATAACATCTGAATCAGGACTCTGTGTCATTAGTTACAAACATTAGTCTGCATCTTCATGCCAGCATTTTTTTAAAGAAAGCCTTTCTAACATGCATTTTATGCAACATGTTGAAAAATAGGAATGTGATTAATGATAATGAAAAAAAAAAAAGAAAAAAAAATGTACCGTGCCTGTTCTGTGGCTGTTTAGCTGTTTGTTTTCCTGTTCTTCTGAATGCATTGCAATATTGTGAGTAACCATGAGCCAAGCTGTAAGCCCGAGGCACAGATACCCTGAGGCTAGGGCACCATGGGCAGGATTTTGGCATTGCCTAACTGCAACATGTGTTGAGAACAAACACCCACGTGTCCGTTGGTGACCTCTGGTGAGATGATAGCAGCAGTGTATCAACCTTTTCTTCTTATTCATGGAAGTGCCATGAAAGACCTAAGGAAATGTGCAAATAATGTAAATTGTGATAACTAAAGCCATGTTAATGGAGCAGCCATGTAAAGCTTCAGTCTTACAAATGCTATTCTCCGATGGTAATTTGTATTCAATTTTGTTTAATGGTTTAAAAAATGTTGGGTTTAATAATAAAAAGAAAATATCTCTAGGAAGGTGTCCTTTCTTAAGCCCAATATGTATTTTTCCTTAAGGGACACTGTCAGGTTAAAAATTTGCAAAGAAACTTTTAAAAGTAGGACTCAAACACATATCTATGTGCATAGGGGCTGTGAATCTGAACTGTGCTGTGAGTGTAGCACTTACATGCCAATGATTTATCTGCATCATTGATTCAGGGGTGCTCTTATATCTGGTATGGCAACATACACTGAACTGATAGTCTGGCCCTTGTGTAAATAAGAATTCAGAAATGTTCTTCCACCTGCATCACTGATAGTATTTTGGAGTAGTATAAATGGAAAGCTTACAGGCATGTCTTTTCAGCAGTTTTGCTTAAGAATAAGCAGAAAAACAGGCAATTGAGTTGAAAAAAAATGCAAACACTATTTTATGTTAGAGATAAGAAAAATAACCCAAAACCTAGCAGTGTCCCTTTAGCTCTAGTTTGTTGTAAACATCCATTCTGACACGTGGACAAATGCAGGAGTGATTTTGCGAGACTATATATATGTGTGTACATACATACATATAAAGTTTGCTAAACTCCGTTCTGCAGGGTATAATCTGTCTACCGGTACATCCCAGGAAAAAGAACATTCATACATGAAGAAATGTGAAAATAAAGGCGTCTGTGTGAAACGTGTATTGGTCTCAGTGCAGTGCCTGCACAGGGGCATTGCCCAGCCAGCCCTTGGCCACGCAGAGCCCTGGGAAGCACCCAGGGACAGCACCACGGCCACCAAGGCACCGCCTGCTCCAAGAGACAGCAGGGCCCCTGCAGAATGCCAGCCCCGGCTTCTCAGTGTCCCTCCAAGGAGAAGGTGCGGGCACTGTCTGTTCAACACCCCTCTCTCCATGGGATGTGCCCCCGGCTGTTGCCAGGCAGAGCAGGGTCAGACTCAAAGCACATGCAGAGGCTTTTGGTTCACTTCTCAGCTGCAGGTTGGCTCAAGTGGCTGTCAAAGCCTTCGTCACTGCTGTGAGATACTGGACACCTCTGGTTTTCTTCTGAGTCCATCACTATTACAGACTGAGCATCTCATCCTGCTGCTTCAGGGGTCCAGGACATTGCACCAATGGACTGAAGGGCAGTGGGGAGGGAGCACGTCTGCACTGGCCAGGAGGGCTGAGGGGGAAACTGAGGCATGAGCTACAACTCAGCAAATGAAAAAGGTTACTTTTGAATTCAAAACTAGCTTTCTCTTACTGAGAGATTAATTCTGTAACTGCTGCTTATCCATGCAGGTCCAGCAAAGCTGGAAAGGGAGAAGGCCCAGACACGCTGTCAACATGATGTTCTACTTCTCTGCTCAAGCAGAAGTTACCAACTACCCTGTTCTCTTGCATTTGGGGCCAGACTTGTGTCTGAGATGGAGAAACATGGAG